TTGGTGATGTTATACGACTCTCTATGTTTGATCATCGTTGTCTCCGAAGGATTGCTGACATCCAGTGGCAACACTATGTTAGTAATGCAGAGGTTCAGCATCGTGCGTTCGGGCACAGAGACGATAATTCAGTTGGTGTCACTATCTTGAAACATCGACTTCTGTGGCTTGGACATGTTCTACGAATGTCGTCCCAGAGAATTCCACGTCGTGAATTATTTGCCCACTCTAGGACCAGTTGGAAAAAATTGACAGGTAGTCAGTGTATGACATGGTGTCGTGGTATGAAGGAAAGTTGTGCGTGACTGGCTTCTGTTGGTTCTTCATGACTCCCTGGCTGTGGTCCGAGAGATGGTGCTCCACAGTGGCTAGAGACGTTATCAGATATGGCTCAGAATAGAAGCCAGTGGCGGTCCTGCTGTAGCTGTTTTTACTTTCTCCATAAAAAAAGACGTCACCTCTTTAAGTGGAAGAATTCTTTGTGGTTGTACTTTTACTAATTGAACTGCCCCTCCCATTATTGTTATTTCAGTATCATACACAAATTCTGTTCATTGTTGTACTTCTTTTTACTTATACTCGCCTTACATTCTTTATATCTTCACATTCTCATTATTATTGTATGGCGCAAATGTATCTGGTGCCCCTTTGTACCAATGTTTTTCTGTTCAAATAATTAATTAATTATTTAACATAATTGTACAAGTAGAAACTACCAAGAACTTCAACATTGTGCACAGAAAATGAACGGTTGCGTATGTTTATTTTATATTCAGAGAAATGCAAAATTTTACTGTTGTTTGGAAAGTATACATGCAGAGATTTTGACTCACACATATTCACAGTTAATTAATTAATTTTTACACATAAACTTTGGTACAAGGATACACCAAATAGATATGCTCCACATAAATTATTCGATTTATGTGAGGTCTGGAATACTGCACGGTTGCCCAAACAGAAGCAGGTGGTTTTCTTAGGAGGCCATACCCGAAGCCTTCCACCTAAAGATCTAATCCACAAGGCAGTGGAGCAACGTCAGCAGATGCAGTCACATGGTAGCCGGTGACCAATGATTGGTTCGTACACCACTTGTTCCCTCAGGATTCTGGAGCTCATGTGCACCATTGGTTTGGAATCGGGGTTTTCCAACTACCCTAAGTGGACCCTCCTTATCCACCAAACCCGGGTAAAGCTCCGGACATTCGGTTTTCATCCTCTCAATTTGGTAAACAACACCCCCACCACGGGAAGGCAGTGAGTAGGACTTCCCTGGCTGGTTGTATGCACGTGGCCACTTGAGAGCATTTCGAGATGGAGAGCTGACGCTCTACACTCTCGGCCTTATTAGGGCATTTGATGACCATATGCACAATACAAATAGCATGGTCTTACAAGTGTTACTCACCACCTAATGTACAATCATTAGCATTTGTCTTAGTATTATTCTTAGGATGACTAAAGGAGGTTGTGTCTTGAGTGGCTTCCTTTGCCAATATGATTAATACAGATAAACTATCCTCACTCATCACAATTGATTGATCACTGGGTGGTGATCAATGTCATGCTTGTCTAGTCCTTATTAGTGCAGATCGAATGCTATCGATCATGTTGCAATGTGGCCAACAGTCTAGGTGACTCGACGCTGCGGGCACTATGTATTGAGATTTAGGTGGTGGTTGGAGGTAGTCAACAGGAAACCCTGGACCCGGGTTTCGTGCTACTTGGCACTCGTCAGCAAGGTGTACCTGTAATCTTGAGGGAACTGATGCTTCCTGACGGATTCGATCTCGTGTCACCCAGCTTCACAGTCAGAGACGTTACCACTGAGCTATCCGAGCCGTGACTAACCTCCTGTAGGACTGAGATGTAATCACAATTGATTGATCACTGGGTGGTGATCACTGTCATGCTTGTCTAGTCCTTATTGGTGCAGATCGAATGCTATCGATCATATTGCAATGTTGCCAACAATCTAGGTGACTCGACACTGCGGGCACTATGTATTGAGATTTAGGTGGTGGTTGGAGGTAGTCAACAGGAAACCCTGGACCCGGGTTTCGTGCTACTTGGCACTCGTCAGCAAGCTGTACCTGTAATCTTGAGGGAACTGATGCTTCCAATACAAAGTGCACGCAGTGTCGAGTCACCTAGACTGTTGGCCACATTGCAACATGATCGATAGCATTCGATCTGCACCAATAAGGACTAGACAAGCATGACAGTGATCACCACCCAGTGATCAATCAATTGTGATTACATCTCAGTCCTACAGGAGGTTAGTCACGGCTCGGATAGCTCAGTGGTAACGTCTCTGACTGTGAAGCTGGGTGACACGAGATCGAATCCGTCAGGAAGCATCAGTTCCCTCAAGATTACAGGTACACCTTGCTGACGAGTGCCAAGTAGCACGAAACCCGGGTCCAGGGTTTCCTGTTGACTACCTCCAACCACCACCTAAATCTCAATACATAGTGCCCGCAGCGTCGAGTCACCTAGACTGTTGGCCACATTGCAACATGATCGATAGCATTCGATCTGCACCAATAAGGACTAGACAAGCATGACAGTGATCACCACCCAGTGATCAATCAATTGTGATTACATCTCAGTCCTACAGGAGGTTAGTCACGGCTCGGATAGCTCAGTGGTAACGTCTCTGACTGTGAAGCTGGGTGACACGAGATCGAATCCGCCAGGGAGCATCAGTTCCCTCAAGATTACAGGTACACCTTGCTGACGAGTGCCAAGTAGCACGAAACCCGGGTCCAGGGTTTCCTGTTGACTACCTCCAACCACCATCTAACCTCACTCATATTTGTACTCTTGTTTAACAGTACTAAATTCAGTCACATTTCATGGTTCTTTGAAGTAGTATGACTTCCAATTATAGTGGGCTCATTCAAATTGCTTATCGACCAACCAATTGTAAGTACTCAGCCAATGAGGCACAGGATGCATTTCAACTTCAATATGACCTGGAAATTAGTAGTATTGTGTTGTGTGTGCTACTTATATCGACATAAGTGGTATATGACGTCAGTCAGGAACAGAATGTCTGGCAGCAGAGAGACATGAGGATCGATCTGTAAAGAATTAAAACAGAATGCAATTTGTATGAAAATGCAAGAACAAGGAAGTCTGAGTCATTTTAAGACAACTGATGAACATTTTGCAAATTAAGTATTACTATATGATTATTAGCAGAACAATATACCAGCTGAAGCACTAAAGTCAGACATCGAAATAACTACAAACATGCTTCACCTTCTATTTAAAAAGATTTGGGAGGTGCAAATGTGAAAAATACAGAGTCATCACATTACTGTCAGTACCAGGGAAATCTTTTAACAGAGTGTTACTGAACGGGATGAAAGACGCAGTAGACGCCCAACTTCAAGATCAACAAGCTGGATTCCGTTAGGCTCGGTCGTGCACAGACCGAATTGCGACACTGCGGATCATCGTCGAACAATCAGTTGAGTGGAACTCGTCACTATACATCAACTTCATCGATTATGAAAAGGCGTTTGACATTGTGGATAGGAGAACATTATGGAAACTTCTCCGACATTATGGAGTTCCTGAGAAGATTGTCAGCATTATTCGGAACTCATACGACGGACTACAGTGCAAAGTCGTGCATGGAGAACAGCTGACAGATGCATTCCAATTAAGGACCGGAATAAGACAAGGTTGTCTACTCTCGCCGTTCCTCTTTCTTCTAGTGGTCGACTGGATTATGAAGACCTCGAGATCTGAGGGACAACACGGAATACAATGGACAGCTCAGGACCAATTAGACGATTTGGACTTCACAGATGACCTAGCCCTCCTATCCCATACACACGAACAAATGCAGTTGAAGACAGCCAGTGTAGCAGCAGTCTCTGCCTCTGTAGGCCCCAACATACACAAGGGGAAAACCGAGGTCCTCAAATACAACACGGGGAACACCAATCCAATCATACCTGATGGCGAAACTCTGGAAGATGTAGAATCGTCCACGTACCTGGGAAGCATCATCGATGGACAAGGAGAATCAAATGCAGATGTAAAGGTGAGGATTGGCAAAGCAATGGCCGCATTCCTACAATTGAAGAACATATGGAACTCAAAACAACTTTCAACCAATATCAAAGTGAGAATCTTCAATACGAACGTCAAGGCAGTTCCACTGTACGGAGTTGAAAGTTGGAGAACTGCTGCAACCATCATCAAGAATTTACAGGTATTTATAAATAGTTGTCTACGCAAGATACTCAACATCGATTGGCCGGATACCATCAGCAACAACCTTCTGTGGGAGAGAACAAGCCAGCTTCCAGCTGAAGAGTAAGTTAGGAAAAGACGATGGAAATGGATAGGACATACATTACGCAAATCGTCAAACTGCATCACGAGACAAGCCCTAACTTGGAATCGTGAAGGAAGGCGGAAGAGAGGAAGGCCAAAGAACACATTAAGTCGGGAAATAAGAGCAGATATGGAAAGGATGAATAACGACTGGAAGGAGCTGGAAGGGATTGCCCAGTACAGGGTTGGATGGCGAATGCTAGTGAGCGGCCTATGTTCCTTCACGAGTAGTAACAGGCGTAAGTAAAATATGATTGTTAAGTTTTATTAACAGGTTCTGTAATTTTCTGTCAAATACATTCGATTGTCCCCACTCGTGTTCCTGTTCAATACAGTATCCCTTCTTTTAACCTATAAATGTTTCGATTAGTTTCGCCATATTCCACCACGACTGTATTTTTAATCGTTCAACTATAGGTTACTGACTGATCAGGGAATTTTTATACTTCTAATAAATTTGAATGATCAAGTTCATTGAGGTATTATCACCAAATATTATACAACTAGTTTTACGATAATATGTTGTCCATTTTATATACTTATTGTATTTTGCTTAAGCTACATTTTTTCCAGAAAAATCAATGTTCTAAAGTAATTATTTTTATCGTAGCATGTTGAAACTTTTACTCTTCTTTTACTTATAGGAGCTCAGTGTTCAAGATGTAATTGATTCTGATTATCCAGATATTTCTCGGCTGGGTGTATTACAAGGTGCAGGAGATGATAAACTCGGTCGTAAAATAATTGTTTTCTCAGCTTGTCGTCTACCAGCAGCTGATTTAATTGATCATCAACATCTTCTAATGTAAGTCATGATTATTTGATGAACCTGGAATTAAATGAATCAGTCTGTAAAAGCTCAACGCTACTCACTGTCCATGGCTCAGTAGTAAAGGCGTTCAACTTTTAGCCATGTTGCGGTTTCGAATCCCGCACCACCTGCTTCTTTTTGACAAAACAGGTAGCATCATTAACCCTCACACTTCGGGTGTGACGAATGAGTCAATTAATTAACCAGTTAGTTAACTTGTTAAGATGGAATATTGAAGGGAAAGATGAATTTTGGTTAACCGCTCAACTTTTTTAGTAAATGATAACTATTTACTATTTTGTGCAGTTTACATCTCTGAAATAGCATCATTCTTCTCACACAAATCCATAATTTACAGTTTTTCCTGGGGAAGACTAAATCGAACAGTGTTATGTATGTATTAGGATCTGTTTGAGAAAATAATTCTATACATTTGTTACAATTATTATCTGCCAACTGCTTTTTCCGTAATTGACGCTAAACCTTTCGATGCACTACTGCTGATTGGCTTACTCGTTTTATACAAGTAAGTTACCGTCGTTATTCTCTTGATGTTATATTCGGGTCTGCTTATAATGATCAAGCTATATTAACTGGAATCATCGGTCCAACCATTATATGGGAGTCGATTAGAAGGAGGCAAAACTAAGTGTTGCAACTTACTGTCCGATGACGAAATCGTACTACTGACTTTACTGTAAGATGTGAACGGGAGTATGGTTTTTGAGAAACTTGATATTTAAGAAGACAGTATCAAAGTATAAAAACTCTGTATGTAACAACAAAACATGAAATTAAGACAGTAAAATTACCAACTATCAGTAAGAACAACTAATCAAATAGTAACAACCATCATTATGGAAATATGAATTGCGGGAATGTTATCATGGTTTTCCTCATACGTAAGGGTTATCATTTATTAACAGAAAGCTCGATAACCTGAGGTATTCCTATCCAAAAACTCTCGAGATCACCTTATCCACAATCAAATCCCCTCTTCATTTCCTTATACTTCTCTCCCTACACTTAATCCGTCCCCTATGGCTTCATCTTATTTTCTATACCTTACTAATTCTAGTAATTAGAGTCCAGGGGATGTTATTCCTGGTTCTCCAAAGCCGCACTGCTAACAGTGTTCGAATCTTTTGTCGAGCCGGGGAATGCAATCTATTGTCCAGGACTTTAAAATCTCGTCTCTTTGTTCTGTGTCTATGAAACTCATACAGGACCCAGATACATTTCTATCGTCAGAAGTCTCATTTCTTAACCACGAAGTCACTGCCGCTTTTATTCCCTGCGACCGATCTTTAGAAATTCCTTCGTTTTTAAAGATTTCTCACTTTTTGCAAACTTATGTGGAACCTAGTTTATTTGTTTATTTTTGTAACTAGAATATTGTAAATACCTTTGTTGTCCATCAGATACTAAGTTAAATATTTGTTCAAAGTAAATAGTTCAATACAATAGACCACTACCTTGTTTGAGGCAGACATTCTAAAATAAAACGTGCAGTTTTCATATGATGGCGAATATATATATATATATATATATATATATATATATATATCTGCCATTTTCAACCAAATTTTTGTTAGGCTTTCAAATCATTGCTTTTGTTAATGCAGTTACGTGTGTGTGAGAGAAGTATGTGCATTAACAGACTGTTTTATTTGTATGAATCAATACGAACTTTAATGATTCTATATAATGAATTTGATCGGTTAGGTTTTTCATTAACGGAAAAACACTATCGTTACATATGATAAACTTATCAGGAATCCAATTGCAATGAGCATAAAACTGTGATTTAGACAGCGGATTCTTTCAGTTTTTGACCAATAATTGTTCGGAAAAGTTTATGACTTTCAAAAAGCTCAATAACTTGATTAGTTCCCATAAATTATTTTAGAGCTTGAAAAACATTTTTATAAAATAACGTTGTGTGGCTCAACTCGAGTATCAACTATCGAATGCTGAGTTTGGACTACATTACAGTTATTTGTGGTTTTTAATAGCCGATAGTATCTATAACACACACTGATTATGATCGAAGGCTAAGTACACAAATTTCTGTGTTCAGTTAAAATGCGCTACATTGGTTAAAAATTAGTCAAATTCTTTTGTCAAATAAAGCGTGTGTCTTGTGACTTTCGGAGAAATAATAACACTAATTTTCTATTAGTAATTGGGTAAAACTGTGTCTCGAAAATCGAGTACACATATACAATTATCACGATTATCATTCACCCAGGGTCTTGTTCATAGCTAAATTGAGGTGGGTAGTTTGAAAGAACTTTCATAGCAATCGCTGTCAATGAAGAGGAGGCGTTGGACGTCCCGAATGCTCGGACTTAGATGGTCCAACAGGTCGACAGCTACGGAATTCAGCACGCCAGCGGGCTCGATATTTCGACGAGGAGTGAGTCACAGACTGATGAAAAAGAAAGCGGCACGGCGAGCGTACAACTGTAAGAGCGACTTATCAAAGGGGAGACGAGCGTGGTGTGCGCTACTTATGTGAACAGATATAAGTATGTAGCAGGAATGCTTACCAGCAGAAGATTGAAATAAAGAGAACAGGAAGGAAAACGGAAAGCAATCAGAATAGTGATAGAATTAGAAGAATGATGGAATGTGTAAAGACAACTCAAGGAAGATGTACAGATGATGTATTTGATGTATGATTTTCATATTTTACAAAGGGAATGTGTAACTTTGCATAAAATAATAGATTTGTCTTCCCCAGCAAACCTTCATTCACTACATAACTTACATAATTGTCAAGCTTTACACTGGATATGACTGACCTGACTACAGTGCATATTAAACTTTGGAATAACCGGTAATTTGCCTTTGTTAGTTTACTAGGCCTGATCAGTTAACCCCTCTTGATCAATATAAACTGCTTATGAGTGTAGTGAACGAGAACTCAGGTGGAGAAAACCAATTTATTGTTTAATGCTCAATCGCACAGCGGTTTAGTAAAATGTGGAAATCGTACATCATTTGCACATCTTTGAATTGTCTCTTACAAGCTTCGTTGTTCCTTCATTCCTGTTGTTATCTTGATTGCTTTCAGTTACCTTCTATCTTCTTTTCATTTCAATTTTCTTAACCTTCTGCTGGTAGACAGTCCACTTCCGATTGGTGTTACGTACCACTTATATCTGTCAACATAAGTAGCCTACACTACATGAGTATCTCAGTACTTGTGGGATAATCTATCCATAATATTAACACTCAGTCTGTGTACAACTTTGTTCTTAATGTGTGGTAATTCTCTTAATATTGGATTATTATTCTTGTTACCTTTTAAATCTTTGAATGTAAAGCAATTTACTTATTCATGTATATCTGAACTTATTCTAATAATCCATGTTAATTTTCCATGTATATATATATATATATATATATATATATATATATATATATATATATATAAATTTACTATTTTAGGTATATTACTAAAACATTGGAACAATATGTCAGTATTGATTACGTCCTAATTTACTTCCACTTCGGACTTACTAACAAAAATCGACCTAAATTTAAATGGCTTGTTCAAGCTTATAGAACATTTGGGCGCAAGTAAATTGCTCATTATTTTATTATTGAATGACCAACACCATTTCATCGTTATTTTTTCACTTTTGATGGACTATAAACGATGCCTATTTTCATTTGGAATCGGATAAATATGGTGAATAATTCGGTCTATCTATAGTTTTTGTAGATTAGTTTACGTTGGAGTTGGTTTTTATCTCCGATTGATAGCGACAATAGAATTTTTACAAATCAGGGAGCACTGAATAACTATTGGATCTTGAAATGTTACTCCTCGCTAGTGTGCAATTGTTCTCTCCATAGCCCAAATCAGTGACTTTCAGTGTTTACGACGAGTTCGTTACCTTTAGACTATTTAGTAGTAGTAATCTGATGAGCTCATAGAAGAGGGAAAAAATTAGGCTTGGTTCATAGTTAATCAATATCTTGAAAGATATAGTAGTAAGTTGAGGGTTCAAATCATGTCATCGACTACCACCTCAGATCACTTAATCTTGATTTACTAATGATCTCACCATTATAAATACTTGACATGTTTCGCTTTACTAACAGAAGGCTTTATTAGTTGTACATTATGTATTTTATTCGGATATTTCTGAATCCCTTCTAACTTCTCCCTCTGAGTAGTTATTATTGGTCTGGTAGATTACTGAGATATATCTTAATAATGGCAGGAAATGTTATTCCATGGATATAGAACAGATAGAATTTAGCTAGCAGTGGAATCGACAACGCGCGTTTCGTCCTATTAGGAACTCGTTATCTGGATGTTGGTAAATATTTGTCTTTTCTTAATGTCTTCATTTATATTGTTCGAAATTCTCGACGTTGGATTTAATGCTAATCCCATGGCTTGGAAGTTATACCGCTAAGACTTCTGTTTCATATATTTTTAATTCCTTGTTATCACTTCCTTTCAAAAATAATAAACCCTAACCCAACGCAATACTGCAATTTATGCCTACTAGTCACATATAATCAAATTAGCACGTCAATTATCCAACTATCCATTGAATGGTGATATATTATCTCCGTTAATTCGTGGATATTTACTTTATCAGTAGTAGAGAGTACCCTTTATGAAATTGTTGAATTATGTAAAATGATTACATTAGAGATTAATTACATCAAGACTATATTACTAAAAAAAAATTAGTTCTAGACGAGTTCAAAAATACAACACGTAATATTTGAAAATAAAATACCCTAATTAATTAAGTTAATGGTAATCTTTTTTCTCACATTTCATAATATTAGTTTCAGGTTGACGTTATCAGATCCATATAATTTATTTAAAATGATTTTATTATTGCCTTCTCTCTCTCTCTCTCCAGTTTTCGTAAAAATTTGAAAACACTTTACATTGTACATCCTACTACTGGTATAAAAATTTTATGGACTCTCTTCAGACCATTTATCAGGTAGGATTATATTCTGTCTGTTTGTTTGTTGGTTAATATATCTATACATATTCATAGTTGTAAATATTATTTTTTAACAATTGTCAATGTATTATGTCATTGATTTTTAGATTGTATTACAACACAGGAACATAAGATTGTTTACTGTTAATTTTATTAAAAAGTATGAGCGGTAAATAAATGACAGTGAAATAATAACTATCAGTACTTACTTAGGTACACCTGTTATCTCTCATGGAGCATAGGCCACCGACCAGGGATATCCGATCAGCTCTGTTACGGTCCCTCCATTCAAGATGTTACCAAAGTGCTATTCTTCGTTTTGATGTCTACCTTCGATTCCTGGCGCAGTGTGTTTTTTGGTCTGCCTTTCTTCCTTCAGGTATCCAAACTAGAGCCTGTTTCGTGATGCAGTTTGATTATTTCCTCAGTGCGTTCCCTATCTTTTCCTAGTTTCTCCTTCATCTAAAAGATGGTTTTTTCTCTGTCACAGTAGGTCGTTGCTGATAGTGTCTGGCCAAAGAATCTGAAGTATCTTGTATAGACAACTGTTTATAAATGCCTTTACCTTTTTGATGATAGTTGTAGTGAGTCGGTCAGGAACAACGTAGAACTTCGCACATACGTGCGCACGTACACCAGTTCGAGTTGCCACACCACATTAGCACAGAGATGCAGTTGTCCATTCAAATCCCGTAGTGGTAGAGGTAGCAAGAGTATAAGCAGTAATCGGAAACATTAGCGTTTGGAGATGTTATTTAAAGAGTATAATCCAGCGAAATAAATTTGGGGAGAGGAAAAAGGGACATGAAGAATTCAGAAGATTAGAGTTTGGGAGAACACAAAAAGTGGATGCACCTGCGCCATTGCAAACGATTTTGAGCCATGTCATTCAGGGTGTCTAACCATAGGTTACTATCATCTCGTGGTCCCCAATCAGGTAGTCTACACCTACCAACATGGCTCAGTCCACTTGTCAGTGACTTCATGGACTTGTGCCATGTTTTGGTTTGGCCGCCCCTAGCTTTCTTCCAACCTACTGCTATACCACTGAACATAGCACGTCGAGGCAATCGGTCGTTGGGCATACGTAACACGTGTCCCAGCCACCTCAACTGATGAAGTTTCACTACTTTATCAATTGATTTGCCATTCTTACCTAGAACCCGTTTCCTAACAACTGCGTTACTCACTCGATGGTCCCAGGATATACGAGCAATGCTTCAAAGACATCTATAATCGAATACCAGTAACCTATGAATATCCTCTACTCTTACCGGCCATGTTTCACTGCCATAAAGTAGGACGAAAAGTTCTGCTGCGCAGTAAACCCGTCCTTGGATTGGTAGACGGGTATCTCACCTACTCCATAAATAACGCAAGTTGGCCAAAGCTAGTCGAGCCTTCTGTATCCATGCTGAGATTTCGTCACACACCAGACCACAAGGGTTGATGAGACTCCCATGATAAGTGAAGCGATCTGCACGCTCAACTACTTCACTCCCTATCATTAGTTCGGGTGTCGATGCTACTCAATCCTGAAGTAACATTTTGCACTTCGAGGGGGAGAATCGCATCATAAATATGCTTGCATTGTTGCTTAGAGTGATCAGAAGACTGCATTTTGTCAGCGTCTTCACCAAATAAAACTATGTCATCAGCATATTCTAAGTCAACAAGTGAACCTCCCGGTAGAAGTTCAACCCCTGGAAATTTAGATGAGGAGAGTGTTATCTCTAAAAGTACGTCAACGACAAAGTTAAACAAGAATGGGGAGAGTGGACAGCCCTGACGAACACCACTTGAGGTAATCAATTCTGATGACAGTTCACCATAAGCTTTCACTTGACCAGTTGTGTTCGAATAGAGAGCCTTTATAAGGTTAATGTACTTCTTTGGTACTCCTTTCAGTGACAAACACTGACATAGAACCTCACGATCAACAGAGTCGAATGCCGCCTTAAGGTCGAGAAATACTATCATTGTGGGGCGTCTGAATGTGTGCCTGTGTTCTGGAACCTGACGTAGTGTGAATATCTGATCTATACAACCACGTCCAGGTCGAAAACCGGCCTGATTTTCTCTAGTCTGTTCTTCACGAGCTTTGGTTAAGCGTCGAAGTATTATCGAAGCTAATATTTTAGATACTATATTAGTCAAACTGATTCCTCTATGATTGTCACAAGAGGACTTTTGTCCTTTCTTATAGACTGGCACAATCAGTGATTGGGACCAGTCAGATGGAACTGTTTCCAGTTCCCAAATTCTACCCAAGACCTCAGTTAATCTCACTGCTAATACTGGACCACCATCCTTAAAAATCTCAGGGATAAACCTGTCAGGGCCTGCTGCTCTCCCTCGTTTCAGATTTCCTATGGCTTTTTCAACTTCGTAAAGGGACGGAGGACCTACATTAACTTGCCATTGAGGTTGACTAGAGATCGTGGGAAACCGAAGTGTGGCTGAAGGCCAGTTGAACTGATCCCTAGTGTTCTGCCCATCGATCCAATCTCCTGGATTGAGAATGAATAATACGTCCATCTTTCTCTGAGACTGTTTCGCTAACGGTCGGGTTCCTAATTCCGGTTTCCTTAACAAGTCTGAACAATTGTCTGCTATTACCTATTGCCGCTACCTTTTTCATCTCTCTTGATTTCGCTACCCACCACTATTCGCGATCATTGCGTACTCTTCTTTTCAGCTTGTGCTTAAGCTGACTCCTCTCTTCATTATGTTCAGAGCCAGGTGGAATGAGTTTCCGAGCATCTATCAGTGCGATAGATGCTGCTGAGATCTCGTGTTTCTCCCTAACCTTACGGTTTACCGTACTAGCAGATATCACTGCTGTTTCCACAGCTTTTCAGATATCATTTCATGCTGCCTCGGGATGGGCATCACATACATGACTGCCTAACTGTTTTTCTAGTTGTTCCTGAAATATATTCTTAGCTTGGCTATCATTAAGTAGGACCCTAAGAGGTTTCCTTGCAGTGTCTTTCCTACGTTCAGTAAGACGCAGACAAATACGCGCTCGCGCTAGAACATGATCCGAATCCAATCATATGTTCCAGAACGACCGATAGTCTTCTATCGAGCTCCTCCATCGGTGGCTGATAGCAATGTGATCCATTTGGGTCCAGCGTTTGGACGAATTCGGGGGTTGCCATGCCAAAATGTGTTTTTCCTTATGTTTATAGTTAGTATTTGCAAGAAACAGGCGGTTATCTGAGCATATTTGCAACAGACGGTCGCCATTATCTGTTCTTTGAGCCACAAAACCAAAAGATTCACCCAGGTGTCTTTCCTTTTCGCTTAGTTTACCTACTTGAGCATTAAAGTCACCAGCCACTATGACTACATCAGAGCGCCTAGCTTTTCGGAGAAGGTCCGAAAGCTTTCTATAAAACTCATCTTTTACATCATCTGAGCTGCAGTCAGTGGGAGAGTAGGCAGAGACAACGATGAGGCAACGACAAGTGTCCCTATTTTTCTGAGTCCTTACTGTTCCGTTCAGTCGGACAGCGCACAAACGACTGTCTACTGAGATCCACTCTAAAAGAGCTAGTTCTGCCATAGGACTCAATGCTATACCTACGCCAGCGAGGCCACGGGAAGCAGCATCGGGGCTTCGAGATACACGAAGTGTGAATCGAGATGGCTCTTTATTTTGATATGGTGAGGTCAAATGAATGACGCTACTCGGATCCTGTATACGCGTTTAGGAAACGCAGCATACATGGCGTGAGATCCTATAGTCTTAGGTAAGGAAGCCTGTTGTCCTATTTGGCACAGTGTTCGGACTTTATAAGCTCCTACATGTAGTTTAGAACGTAGTTTCAGGAGACCAGGAATAACGTTCCGCGTAGTTGAATCGTTTGCACCAGCGGTGCGAGATGATAAAGGACCGTGAGAAGTGTTAGTCGTGGAGATAATAAGGTTATTAGGTGTAGTGTTTCTTCGATCCAACTATTATATATGACCTGCTCAAGTTCACCTACTGGTGAAGGAGTTGAAAGCAGCTTTCCGATTCCAAAGAAACTAGATAAAAGTTCTTTTTTTTCAAAGATAGAGTAATGAAATAACTTCTACTGTGTCTATACTTATAACATGCGAATTATGTTAACTGGTCTGTACTCATACTACTTCCTGAAGCCTGTTTTTCTTCGACTCATTGGCATATGGTGTTTTTCGTTAGTTGAAGTAAATTAATTCTCCTTTACTTACTTACTTTACTTACACCTGTTACTACTCGTGAAGGAACATAGGCCGCTCACTAGCATTCGCCATCCAACCCTGTACTGGGCAATCCCTTCCAGCTCCTTCCAGTCGTTATTCATCCTTTCCATATCTGCTCTTATTTCCCGACTTAATGTGTTCTTTGGCCTTCCTCTCTTCCGCCTTCCTTCACGATTCCAAGTTAGGGCTTGTCTCGTGATGCAGTTTGACGATTTGCGTAATGTATGTCCTATCCATTTCCATCGTCTTTTCCTAACTTACTCTTCAGCTGGAAGCTGGCTTGTTCTCTCCCACAGAAGGTTGTTGCTGATGGTATCCGGCCAATCGATGTTGAGTATCTTGCGTAGACAACTATTTATAAATACCTGTAAATTCTTGATGATGGTTGCAGCAGTTCTCCAACTTTCAACTCCGTACAGTGGAACTGCCTTGACGTTCGTATTGAAGATTCTCACTTTGATATTGGTTGAAAGTTGTTTTGAGTTCCATATGTTCTTCAATTGTAGGAATGCGGCCATTGCTTTGCCAATCCTCACCTTTACATCTGCATTTGATTCTCCTTGTCCATCGATGATGCTTCCCAGGTACGTGGACGATTCTACATCTTCCAGAGTTTCGCCATCAGGTATGATTGGATTGGTGTTCCCCGTGTTGTATTTGAGGACCTCGGTTTTCCCCTTGTGTATGTTGGGGCCTACAGAGGCAGAGACTGCTGCTACACTGGCTGTCTTCAACTGCATTTGTTCGTGTGTATGGGATAGGAGGGCTAGGTCATCTGTGAAGTCCAAATCGTCTAATTGGTCCTGAGCTGTCCATTGTATTCCGTGTTGTCCCTCAGATCTCGAGGTCTTCATAATCCAGTCGACCACTAGAAGAAAGAGGAACGGCGAGAGTAGACAACCTTGTCTTATTCCGGTCCTTAATTGGAATGCATCTGTCAGCTGTTCTCCATGCACGACTTTGCACTGTAGTCCGTCGTATGAGTTCCGAATAATGCTGACAATCTTCTCAGGAACTCCATAATGTCGGAGAAGTTTCCATAATGTTCTCCTATCCACAATGTCAAACGCCTTTTCATAATCGATGAAGTTGATGTATAGTGACGAGTTCCACTCAACTGATTGTTCGACGATGATCCGCAGTGTCGCAATTCGGTCTGTGCATCTACTTATACTGGTGTTTTATAAAAATCTGAATAAACTCACATGTCTTCCACTTTTGTCTTAGATAAAAAGTATACTATTCCTAATTGTTTCTGTAAACTTTGTTGTCATACTACATATCATTTCCTAGACACTGATATGACAATAAAATTAACATCCCATTAAAGATTGTTTTCTTTGTAAGCCCATAACATTGCCCAGTCTTCCACAATTTGAATTACAATTATTCAAAATCATATCGATTCCATTAATTAAATTTTTATAGGCATTTTTTTTAATCCTTCTCTACATATATCAATAAATGTTTGATATCACTAGATTTTCTATGTGCATTAAGAAATTACCACGGAATTTACTGTTTAATGGCTGAAGTTGTCGTAAGTGGTCAATAAGTGTGTTATATTCAGCAATTTTGGCTATTTTTCCGTTGATTGATCGGTTTAATGTTATATGTTAGTGTGTAGTTTACATTCTGGATTTCACTTCAAATCTCTGGAGTTATCCTCACCTGTCTCCAATGAACATGTTAATGTGGCGCAACCTAATATGCTGGATGAAAAAATGTTAGGTTTTGGAATGAAATCCCTAATTAAAATTTACATTTGACCATGCGAAACCCACATGCCAAAGGAACAGATAACTGACCGTAAAATGCTAGATACAACATATCTACTGAACATTGGAAACATTGCGGATAACCCCTAACCTAGTTCACTCACTAGTCGAGTCGTTTGTTTATACTAACTTGAAAGTGATTTCATACAAATTCATAATAGAGCTGAAATGTAACTAATAAAGTGGATATTATTTATTCAGAGTAATAATTATATATATATGAGTGAGACAATTTACAAAAAACATAAGATGTTATTTTTGTCTCTAAATATTCGATGTGACGACTGATCCATCAAATGAGGCGGAAGTTCGCAAAGAACTCCAACTCTTGAAGCGCTACAAATCACTGGATGCAGATAACTTACCTCCGGCCCTTTTTAAAGATGATGGTGACTTTCTAGTTAAGGAACTGTCTGAGTTTTTCACAAAGGTTTGGCAGTTAGACAGTGTACCAACGTCATGGAATGAGTCGATAATCGTCCTTATCTTTAAAAAAGGTTCACATCATCTATGCAAGAACTATCGGGGGTTTAAGTCTACTTCCGATTGCGTTCAAACTATTGGCTTCCGTCATTCTCCGTAGATTGTTCAAAACCCGAGAAAGATTGACTCACGAAGAGCAAGTTGGTTTTCGTTGTAGTCGAGGTTGTATTGATCACATATTCATCCTCCACCAAATGTTAGAACACCGTCATACTTATCACAGGCCAATAATGGTAGTGTTTCTTGACATAAGGTTTGCCTTCGATTCGTTGAACAGGACTGTTCTCTGGGATTGTCTATTAAAGGAGGGTGTGCCTAAGAAATTTATTAACATCTTAAAAGCCCTATATACAAACACCTCAGGCAGAGTGAGGGCACATAATCACCTCTCTCCATTGTTCCATTCAAGCAGTGGGGTTAGACAGGGTTGCCCAATCTCAGCATTCCTCTTCAACTTTGCTATCGACGACGTTCTCGGAACAGCTCTGATGGATGTAAGTAATGGCGGTGGTGATCTGTTGCCCGGGGAAAGACTCCTCGACCTTGAGTATGCGGATGATATTGTCTTACTGCGCGATAATACTCAAGTCCTGTAATCCTCACTTAATCAGTTGTCAATTGGTGCCCGTAGGTATGATGGTGTAGCGAAGGAGAACACAGGTGAGGACAACGGAATCGTATTTAGCACAAAATTACAAAGTTACTTGGTAAAGTAGAAAAACCATATAGTAAATCGTTAATTTGCAAAATATCAATGCATCCTATCAACCTGGACTGTGCTTGTTGCAAACATCAATCAATTGTCTCACATTTCATTGTTCATGCGTTTTCTTAGTTTGGGATCTGATTTCCCGACCCTGCTCTCCCTGCTATGTTACTTTTTCGCTCTCTACACTTTATTAGGTCCCCCACTGCAAAAGGTTTCCACGTTCTCCTCTGTTGTCCCACCTTCTTTATGTCTGATATTTGTTTCTTTTCCACATTCCTTATTGCTTCCCTCCTATCTTTTCTTTCCTTGTTGTCGTCCACTTCTGTTGTTGTGGCCAGGTCTTATTATGCATTGGAAGTCGTAGCTGTCTGCCGTATATGAGCAAGAAAGGTGACTTCTTGGTTGTTCCTTGTATGGAGGAGCGATGCGCCAGCAAAATCAATGGTAACTCTTTCTCCCAATTTCCTCCTTTATATGTTAACGATTCCTTTAACGTCCGGTTGTTTCTCTCTATAAGGCCGTTTGTCTGAGGATGTTACGGTGTAGTTCGTATTCTCTTGATACCAAACTGCTTTAGACGGGCTTTAAACTCGTCACTTTCAAAACAGTGACCCTGGTCAGTTAATGTCATCTTCGGTAATCTGTGACACGCTACAATATGCCTGATTACCACTTCGGTCACTGTTTTTGCCCGTTGGTCTGCAACGGGTACAGCAATTACCCAACGTGTAGCATGTCCCGTCATCACTAGCATGTACTGATTGCCGCTCGCCGTCTGTGGAAACGGTCTCATTACATCCACCGACCATAGATCACCGACTGCGGTTACTGGGATTGACTGTAATGGCGTCTCCCTTTAAACTATTCGCCGCGTATGCTGTTAATGGAAGGTCAGCTTCCATGTCTGGTCTTGACAAGTAATCCGCCATTACGTTTTCCTTTCCTGGGACATGACCGATACCGAGGTCGTATTCTTGCAGAAGTATCATCCATCGCGCCAACTTCCCTCGGGGGTCTCTTGCTGTTTTCAACCACTGCAGGGGTTTATGTACAGTCTCAATGTGAAACCGTCTGCCTAAAAGGTACGGTCTCCATTTTTCTACTGCCCGCGCGATTGCTGAACACTCCTTTTCGATCGTTGAATACTTCTGTTCAGCGGGTGTGACGACGCGACTTGCGTATTCCACCACTCTATCAGCCTGACTCAACACAGCACCTATACCATGACCACTTGCGTCTGTGGCTACTGTAAACAGTTTTCCGGGTTCAGGCAGTCCGAGCGTCATCTGACGGTCGTCTAGCATGTTTTTGATTCGGTCGAACGTTTGTTCGGCAGTCTCAGTCCACGTAAACTTGGTGTTGCTCAACAACTTATGTAGGGGTGCTGCTATTTCGTCGAAATTCTTGACAAACCGACTGTAGAACGCCGCTCTTCCCAGGAACTGTCTCGACTTCCTTGTCGAATTAGGCACTGCAGTATTTTTTATGGTAAGGATTTTCTCCGGCAATGGTTTTATTTCTCCATTTCCCACTTTATGTCCCAACAACGTGACGCTATTTCTCGCTCTCTGCGACTTGTCTTTATTAATTCGAAGTCCAAATTCGTCAATTCGCTTTAAGATCGCCTCCACACACTTGACGTGATCTGTTTCTGTCTGACTGTACACAACTACATCGTCGCTATATACCTCGACATTATCTAGATTCTTGAGCAGTAGCGTCATTAATCTTCTGAACGTAAATGGTGCACCAGCCAACCCAAACGGCATTTGTTTAAATTGATACTGTTTATCACGTACAGTAAACGCTGTCTTGCTTCGATCGCTCTGTTTTATAGGCAGTTGCTAATAACCTGGCCGTAAGTCCAACACTGTAAACATCGTGGCATTCTGTAGCCGATCTAATGTTTCCACCACTGTTGGCATTGCACAAGGTTTCAGGTCTGTTATATTATTCAATTCTCTGAAGTCGACACAAAATCTATACTTTCCATTTGGTTTCTTTACTAAGAGTACCGGTGAGCTATATGGGCTGTCCGCTTCCTCAATTATACCTTCTTTCAACATTACCTGGACCTGACGATTTACCTCAGCCTCTAAATGCACCGGGACATGACGTGTTGCAAATATATTTACTCGATCGTTCTTTATCGGGATTTCGTGCTTCACTTTGTCAAAATCCATACGGCTCCCCATCTTCAGTGAATAGTTTCGCATACTTTGTTCATAACTCGTTAATGTTCGGTTTCTTCGACGAGACATCCGCTGCCACTCTTATTTCAGCCACTTCGCTACTTTCACGTATTGGCAATGAACCATACTTTATAACCATCTTACTGCTTCCTAAGTTAACTATCGCTTTTACTTCTCTTAGGAAATCTGCTCCTAATATCTGTCTCGATAAGCTTGTGGTTACCACGAACGGAAAATTTATCTCAGCATTTCCCAATTTTACGATACTGTTAGATACCCCCAACACCTCTAACATATGGCCTATAGTGTGGACAGCTAATGTACACGGCTTGAGTTTCTTACATTGCTCTTTGCCTATTAACGATACTGCTGCCCCTGTATCGACCAGACAAACTAAATCTCGTTCATTTATGTTCACTCTCGTATAAACTGCCCTTCTGTCTACTAACGCAACAACTCCCAGATTCCTAGGATAGAAAGAACACACGTTATAACGTCTTCGTCTTGTTGGACAGTTTATCTTCCAATGTCCTATCCCTCCGCAAGCGTAACATTTATCCTTCCTTTTATGGTTCACTCGTATTGCTGAAATCTCACGCTCCAGCTCCTCAATCTTCTCGACATTATTTATCTCCTGCTTTTCGCACCCGACCGGAGCTACTGCTCGTGTCATCAGCTGACGAGTCACCTTCGCCAGTTCACAGATATAAATCGGTTGCGCTGCGTTCACTAGTTTCAGCTGCTTGGAAACGGTGTCAGGCACACTCTCGATAAACTGCGACGCCAACAATTGTGCCTCTGACTCCTCATCCAGACTCGGCAGCGTGCGGCGTAACAATCTGGTAAGCTCCACAGCCAGCATCAGTGGGTCACCACCGGCCGACAACCCCGCCGACCAAAACTTCTGTAGTGCCTCCCCCCTGTCCACCGGGCTGTCGAACTCCGCCAGTAACCGCTCCGTGACCGTCTCCCATGTCTTCTTTCCGCCAGCACCGTCCAAACTATCATATACAGCTATCGCTCTGCCTCTCAGCAGCGTCCCCAGCACTACCAACTTCGCCTTCGGCTCCTTCACTCCCACCACTCCAACACGGCCTCAAACTCCTTCAGAAGGCTCAGCACGCCTCCGGCCATGGAATCTTCCTCCTTAGTATAGGCAACGACACCAAATGTAGTGAAAGAGAACACAGGTGAGGACAACCGAATCATATTTAGCACAAAATTACAAAGTTACTTGGTAAAGTAGAAAAACCATATAGTAAATCGTTAATTTGCAAAATATCA